GAATCCCTGGCACCTAGTACTTGCTAAATAAATGGATGTGCAATAAGTAATCATTAGTAGTAACAATAGTTAGCATTTCACCAAGCCCCTAGTAGGTGCCAGTCACCTCCTCATACAAGGGTCATTTATATGAGATAGTTGCACTTTATTATCCACATTTTACAGATGAGGAAACTGAGGTTAAATGACCTGTTCACAATCATGCAATTAGAAAGTGGCAGCTGAGCATGGTGGCCCACGCCTGTAATCCCAGCACTTTGGGAGGCTGAGGTAGGTGGATCACGAGGTCAGGCATTCAAGACTAGCCTGGCCAACACAGTGAAACCCCATCTCTACTAAAAATATAAAAATTAGCTGGGCATGGTGGTGGGTGCCTGTAATTGCAGCTACTTGGGAGGCTGAGGCAGGAGAATTGCTTGAACCTGGGAGGCAGAGGTTGCGGTGAGCCGAGATCATGCATTGAACTCTACCCCAGGCACAGTGCAAGACTCTGTCTCAAAAAAAAAAAAAGAAGAAAGAAAGAAAGAAAGAAAGAAAGAAAGAAAGAAAGAAAGAAAGAAAGAAAGAGGCAAAGCCAGGATTTGAACCCAGAAAACCTGACTTCTGAGTAGTTCTTAACTTGTGCTCCTAATGTTCGTGTTGCCGCCCTCTCCACTGAGGGACATGGGGATGTGGAAGGGACAATGCCACCTGTGGTGTTATGACATTGATCCAGTGGGTGCTTACATCCAGGGAAGAAGAGGCTAGTCTCTAGACAAGCCAAGGTCCTCCTCCCCGCCCCATTTTTCCTCCATCATCAGTCTATTTTCAGCCTGTGTTAATTACAGGCTATAGAAACTTACCACTAACTTGGTGGCTAAAACCAGTAGCTATGTATTCTTCCTCGGTTCTGGCGGCCAGAAGTCTGAAGTTAGTGCCATGGGGTGGAAATCAAGATATCGATAGGACTGCCCTCCCTCCAGCAGTGAGAATCTATTCTTGTCTTTTCCAGCTTCTGGGGGTTGCAGACATTCTTTGGCTTGTGGCTGCACCATTCCAATCTCTGCCTCTGTGGTCACGTGGCCTTCTCTGCATGTGGTCTTCCACTGTCCTTCTCTTATCGGGACACTTGTGATTATATTTAGGGCACACTTGGATCGTCCAGGATAATCTCCCCATCACATCTCAGAGAACTTTTAGCTTAATCACATCTCAGAGAACTTTTTATTTATAAAATAACACTTTCAGGTTCTAGAGGTAAGACTTGCTATGTCTGGGGGATAGACATATTTCAGACTATACATGATGTCTTAGTCTGTCTCATGTTGCTATAAAGAAATATCTGGCTCACGCCTGTAATCCCAGCACTCTGGGAGGCCAAGACGGGCCGATCACCTGAGAGCAGAAGTTCAAGAGCATCCTGGCCAACATGGCAAAATGCTGTCTCTACTAAAAATACAAAAATTAGCCAGGCAAGTTGGTGTGTGCCTATAGTTCCAGCTACTTAGGAGGCTGAGACAGGAGAATTGTTTGAACCCGGGAGATGGAGGTTGCAGTGAGCTGAGGTTGTGCCACTGTACTCCAGCCTGGTGACAGAGCTAGACTCCATCTCAAAAATAAATAAATAAAATTATATAAATATATATATATACACACACACATTATATACATATATACACATTATATATATATATACACTTTGTATATATATATATATATACACACACACACAACATATATATTTGAGGCTGCATAATTTATAAAGAAAATAGGTTTATTTGGCTCATGCTTCCGCAGGCTGCACAAGAAGCATGGCACTAGAATCTGTTGCTGGTGAGGGCCTCAGGAAGCTTCTAGTCATAGCAGAAGGGGAAGGGATACTGGCGAGCTTGGTAAGAGAGGGACCAACACAGAGAGTGAGGGGAGGTAACAGACTTTTTTTAAAAAAAAATCAGATCTCTGGGAAACAAATAGAGAAGTCACTCAACACTGTGAGGACACAAACGCCTCCCATCAGGCTCACCTCCCACCCTTGGGATCAAATTTCAACGTAAGTTTTGGAGAGCTTCCGATCCAGATGCTATGACATGACTTGAGGGCTGTTATCTGGAATCATCAGCCTCAGGAGTTCCATTCTGCCTTGCCTGCCTTTGCCTCCTGACTGCAGATCCTGGACCTCCCTGGGTTGATAACTGCAGAAAAAGACCATTCTCCGGCATCACCTTGACTCTGTTTTCCCCTCTCAGTATGGGCTTTGTAAGCCGGGGAGCTGGTAACAGAGCCAAGGAGGAGGCTGAAGGGTGACATCCCCCAACTTGTGCCCATCTGTAATCCTCCTAAACAAAGCCTGGTCACCTCTAAGTTTAAGCTTGGGCTGAATGCCAGGCATCAGGCCCAGAGAGGGACCTGATTTGCCTGGAGACACACAGCAATTCATTTATTCATTTGACAAACCTTTACTGGATGCCCTTCTATGTGCCAACCTCTGTGCTGGCTGCTGGAGACAAAGAAGTTACCTATCCCCTGTATTTGTAAACTAGTGAGGAGGACACAGCGAATTTCACTGGCCATTTGTTCCTGAACATATGTAGCAAATGTGAAAACAGGGAAGAGAGGAGGCCTGGGAGGAGAGTAATTTACCCTGCAGGAAATTGAGAGGTGAGCCTCTGAAGGCTCCAAGGAGGAGGCAGCATTTGGCCTGGGTAGGTATTAGCCACGGGAGATTCCAGGCTAAAGGAGCAACAAGTATGAAGAGGGTCGAGAGGCTGAAACGGAGGTAGGTTGAGGGGCTTCATGTGGCATACAGCTCTGTGTGTGTTTGCTGCATTTCACTGGATCCTCTTAGCTGGCCAATGAGTTAGTATTATTAGACCCATTTCCTAGATGTCAAAACTGAGGCCTCACCCATGGAGATATTTCCCTGAGGTCATGCAGCCACTGAGATGCCCACTGGGGTCCACAATCTTTGCTTCTCTAATCCAGAAGTCATGTTATTTTCACTGTACAGTTTGACTCCGTAAGTTTTGCCATGATGACTTCCCCCCTTAAGAATTCGCCCTCTGACACTCCCATAGCCAGGAGTTTAAGAGTCCTCCTTGCTACAATTCCAGTGGCAACTCTGACTGTAGGCTAGTGGTTGCCTGGGAGACTTAGGTGGCTGTATGGGAGTTGAGTGTTCTGAAATTGACTAGCAATGTCTGCTTGGGCAATGGGTAAAGGGGTAGTGGTATGTTTGCCACGGACTTGCGAAGTCTTGGCTGGTGGCTTTATGAAAGTATCCTCATTATCTCTGAGTTTTCAGAGGGAAATATATCCCTAAGTGACCTACATTGTGCAGTAAGGAAGCTGAGTTATTTTTATAAAGAGGGGTGATTTGTTTAACAGTTGGGAATCAGACAAGGATAACCTTGCCTCCCATTTGGGCCCGGATTCTGGAGACCCCTCCTCAGTGCCATCTAGCTTCGTGCTCCTTTGCAACAAGCCCTGCTTCCTCCTGCGACCTCTTTCTGACTCTTTGTCTGCAATGCTTTCTTTTCCCCATCCCACCGAGTTGAGTTTCACAGCACTCGGAACCGCCAAAAGCAACTGTCCTACCCAAAGGTAACCTGCTCATTTCCAATGGGAGGCAGAGGCATGAATCAAACAAGCAAAGATTCCTAAGGCTTTCCCACACCAGGCCCCCACTCCGTCTTTGTTATTTTTTCCCAAGGGAGGGGACGCCTTTGAGAAATCTGGCCTCACCTTCAGCACATCCCAGACCTTCACACATCTGGCTCAACCTCCCAAGTGACAAACCAGCACATACCCTCCCCCCCGACACACACACACAAATTCTAACAAGACATTAATAGATAAATAAAAATAGCTTCCACAAGAAACGATGAGGAGTCACGGAACAAAATGATTTCTTTCTGTGTGCGTAAACTCATGAATAATCAAATTGCACGGTCCCCAAACGAGCCAAGCGCAGCTCTTGTCAACTTCATCCCAGTTTCCTCCTGGAAGGTCACCTCCAACCTTTGCAGACCTGGTGGCTGTGTCCCTCACATTTACTCCTTCCTTGCCCCTCCCAGGCCCTACCTCCTCCTCAGGGGGAAGAAATTAATTCCCAATGCTATGGAAACGTGCAGAAAATCTGAATGGAAGGCTGGGACTGCACTCATGAATCATCAGGCAGGAAGGGGAGTTCGATACAATATTGATGGGAGAGGGGGGCGTCCTCAGGCCGTGGCTTTTGTGGGCTGAACCAGAGCCCTGGCTTCGAGCTTCTTTAGTGTCTCATTTTAACCTACCAGCTGCCTTGAGAAGCAAGATGATCTTCCCTGACTTTTTTCTTCTTCCTTTTTTTTTTTTTTTACAAAAAAAAAAAAAATATTTTTTTATTTTCCCTCATGTGTTAAGGGAGGAAACAGTGACAGGGACAAGTGACAGCTCGCTAATTATTCCCTTACTGCCACTGCTGTTCTGGCTTTGGACGCATTGCTCATTTCTCCCCGTCTTCGCACTGAATAATGCATGGGTCCCTATCTGTATTCAAGCGGCACCTCCGGGGACCGCCAGCCTAACTAGCTGATAACTGATTCAGTTTGTAAGCAGGGCCTCTGGGAGTTGCAAGGAAAAGTAGCCAAGAACAAATTTAACACTTCTTTCTCATTTCTTCAGAACATCAAGGAGAGGCAGGGTGGAAAGCAGGTGAGGATGTGTGCCTGGTCCTTGGAGGGCACTTGACCTCAAGTTAGGAGGGGAAAATCTTGGCTCAGCTGTGAGGAGGGGGTGTGATAATGATGATGAGAATAATAATAAGGATATTAATAATAATAATAACTACTTTCCAGTAGTTAAGGCTAGCTGAAGGCTCACTATGTGCCCAGCAGTGTATCTAACACGTTGCATGTATAATGTCTTCTAATCATCACGAGAACCCCTTGATGGCAATGCATTGGTGGACATGTCAGTTAGCTGTTACCATGATAATACCACATAACAAATAGCCTCGGCATTTCAGCAACCAGTGATAACACACCTTTATTTTCTCGTTCAGGGGTCTGCAGGTGGGTCAGTCTTGTGCTGATCTCAGCTGTGTTCAGTGGGGCTTGGCTGCAGGCTGCAGGTGTGGGTCACGTCTGTTCCACATGTCTCATTCTGGGGTCTGGGCTGGAGGGGAAGAGCTACCTGATGGCAGAAGGGCAAGTGCATTTCCAGCTTCTGTCTGCATCGTATCTGCTAATAGCTCACTGGCCAAACAAACCACATGGCCAAATCCAGCGTCAATGGGTGGGGATGTGAGCGTTGCCCGCCGTAACTCCAGGGAAACCTTGTAGATGCCTATTATGCTAGAGGAGAGGAAAGAGTTAGGTCCCAAGAAGAAGACTGTAGTGCAATCCATTTCAGGGATCGTGAAATCTCCCCCCCCGCCCCAAGGAAATACCAGTTTTGCAAGATGATATGTACCCTCTGGTCTCCAGATGGGGCTCCTTGTTAAACGACATGAGAAGCCAACGTATCAAATGATAATAAAAAACGAAATGGCAAATTCTTAACTAGAGTCTACGGGACCAGGTACGTCTACGAGCTTTACATATACTGACTCATTTTGTCCTCCTAATAACCCAGTAAAGTAGGTACTATTATTATCCCTGTTTCACAGAAGAAGGAAAAAAACCAGGAAGAGAGAGGTAAGGTAATTTGCCTGAGGCCACACAGCTGGTTACGGGTAGTGTCAGGATTTGAACCCAGGCTGTTCCCGAACCACCCTAGGTAAAACTAAATGGTAATGCAGAAGTTTAAATTTTGGAGCTAGATGATCTATTTGAGATGTTAGACTTTAGTCGACTTTGAGAAATATACTTGGGCAGGATTAGGGTGGTATTTGGTCTGGGGCTAACCAGTCTCTGAAAGTCCAGACGTGTTTGAGAAGAGTCATGCTCACTCATTCCCACCCTGTGGGCAGAGTTTCACATCTCTCTTTCTTGCTCTTTCTGGGTCAACCTGAGTTGTCAGGTTATAGTCTGATCCCAGGCACTGAATTTCATGTTCTGGAAGCTGCCGGTACAGTTGACGCCCTCCTGCCAACAGGCTGGGTGGACACAGGTGTCTCCGGGAATGATACCACCAAAAGCTGCCTTGGCTGCACTTGGACTGGTTGACCACAATCTGGTGGTGGTCAGCAACAGAAATAAAGCAGACTCTTGTTTTATAGAAGTCAATGAGACCAGGTAAAAATTGGCCTGTTTGGAGGTCAAATAGTCCATTATTTGGTCCACTTTTAAAATTAAGAATGCAATCCTTAACCAGAGAATCCAGGTCCAGTCTGGAGGCTCCAAGCAGAGGTTCTGTGGGCGTTGCACAGTGCTGCATTCTTGGAGCCTCACATGGTATTTGGCCTGTAGTAGAGACTCAGTGACTCATGACTGCCTGAATGAATGAATGAGTGAATGCTCATCTGTTTGATCTCAGTTTCGAGATGAGAAACTGAGGCAGAGAGAACTTGACCAATTTTATGAGGATCATCCCCCTAACTTAGTAACTCTTACTGAGCACCTACTATGTGCCAGGTGCTGTTGGAGATGCCGGGGATTCAAAGTCCTCGCTGTCTGGGTCCAACACATATTTCATATGATGTCAGGTGTTGAGAAAAAAAGCAGGACAAGGGGAGGAGGGTGATCTTGGGGTTCAGTGGTTAGTGTAGATGTTCTCACTTTCATCAGGTGTCCACTATATGCAAATCGCTTTACATATTTGATCTCACGAAGAGAGCTCAGCCACCCTGTGAGGTAGGCTGCGTTATTACATCATACCCATTTTACAGACGAGTAACTGTGGCTCTGAGAAGAGGGACATCTTACCACGGTTGCATGTGGAGGCAATACCAGACAGGGGACCCAATCTGCCTGCCCAGTGCCTAAGCTGTGAGGGATGGTGGGGTCCCCTTCTGCTTCCTGGAGGCTGGCGTGTCAAGGAGGCTGGATGCCAAGGGTGGGACAGGAGCTCAGGGTGCCCACAGCTGTCACCTGCCTGGGAGTGTGTCTGCATCCAGCCGCCCAGCGCTGTCTGCTGGGGTGACACCGGGCTTGCTGTCAGGAGCAGCATGTCAAGGCAGCAGCGGGGGAGGCAGGTAGGCTGTTGGCAGGTTGCTTAAAATAGCAGCGTGTCCTCACGGCTGCAGGAGCTCGGTTCTCCCGGCCGAGAACAATCAGGGAGAAGATTCCTCAGCCCTGCAGCTGCCTCCTTGCTGGTGTCTCTCTGCAAGGAGCCAGGGAAATTATTCTCAAGTACAAGGTCCCCATTGCTCACAGGGTCTGTGGGAGGAAAGTCCAAGTCCAAACCCCAGAACCTTCATAAGCTACCCCCTGACAACTCTGTTCTCCTCACCCTCCTTTCTCTGCTTACCCTTGTCATGCTGTGTTGAAGACCTCCTTTGGTGATGTCCCTTACAGCTTTGCTTTGACTGATCTGGCTGCCTGGAGGGACCTCCTGGCCATCTTCTCCACCTGGAAAATAGATGGAATACAGTAGGTGCTCAATATATGTCATTAGGCTCCACATGTCAGTGTTGAACTCTTACTTATCCATCAAGCTCAGCTCCCTCTTCAGCCCTAGGGGGAAGCCTTCTAGATCCTCCTAGGAGAAAAAATCCCTCCTTCCTCTGAGGTGTATTGCTCAGGTGCAGATCAGGATTGGAGAGATTCTTACTGTTTATGGCTCTCTTTATCCCTATTGACTGGCCAGGTCCACATCTAGTAAGTGGCATTTGCTCTAGCAGGGTGGCAGATAATTGGCACACAGGCTAGACTCTTCTAGCCATGCACATGCCAGACATTGCTAATCAATCATAGGATTCTTTATTTCAACACCCTGGGGTCTCCAGGCAGATATGAGCAATTGACAAGAGGCAGCACCAAGATGATGCCTTAATGGGTCCTCCTCACTCAAAAGTGTCATTATAACTACAGGCTTTAGATAAATGGGCTCCAGAAGCTTGTCTTCATGGCTGCCTTGGCCATCAGACATGGTGGCTCTCAAGGGCATGACAATGTCATTTACTTAAGCATCTCTTCCTCTGGGCACAGAGCCTGGCAAATACTAGGTGCTGAAAAAATGTTTGTCAAGTGTGGAATCTCAGAAGTGGAGAGAACTGATCAGACGTACAGAGAAACACCCCCGGAGCTTTCTGGGATCTTGCTTTTCGTGCCCCACCCTGTGGCCTCCAGGGAACAGAGCCCAGAGCCCAGGAAACCCAAACTACAAACTCATTGAGATCATTTCCAAATCACAAAATGACACCCCAGTGATCAATTGCACAGATATGCAGGGTCAAAGATAAAAGATCCTCAGACCAATTAGCGAATGCTCAGAGACCCAATCCTCAGAATGTCCCTCTGAGACCAGCTGTGAGAAGGACCAAGCTCCCACTCTTTCCTCAGTGGCAGCCCCCTTGGGGAGGAGGGAGCAGATAGCAGAACCGTGCTATTTACAAGCTTTCAAATGGGTTATTGAATCATAAACTGAAATCACAGGCTGTAACCAAATCAGCAAGGACCAGATTCAATAAAGTGGAAAGGGAGGGGGGAATAAACACCCCACCTAGAAGCTTGTTAAAGCCTTCTGTGGCTCTCCTGCCCTGGCTTTCTTCACGTCTCATTGTTTCTGGTGAATAAACCCAGCCTGCTCTGGTGTGATACTGGTGCCATGAATTCCATGTGTGGTTTCTCAGTGGAGGAAAAGGACATCATTACGTGCCATTGGAACTTGAAAAGAACTCAACGGTGCTTCGTCTCTACCTTGCTGGAGTGGTTGGGCTGGGGCTCTGTCATCAGCCTCAGATGCCTTTGCTGAGTTGTGAATGTCTCAAATTATAATACATGGAAACTTTTAAGATGGGAGGTATGCACCCAGCCTCCTGTGGTTACTCTGAGGCCTCCTTGTACGGGGTCTCTGTTCCTAAGGAGGCCCCTGGGGATATCTGATGACCCCTCTGCTGGGGTCATGTATGTGTGCACTGTACTTTGCAGTTTATAGAAAGCCCCTTCATGTGAATTATCTTAGTTATGCTACAAGCTCAGAATGCATAAGGCCAGCACCCTGCCTGACCTAAAGAAGACACCCTAGTGGCTGGACACATGAAGATAAGCTTCTGGAGCCCATTTATCTAAAGCCTGTAGTTAATGACACTCGGGAGTGAGGACCCATTAACTCATCATCTTGGTGCTACCTCTTGTCAATTGCTCATGTCTGCCTGGAGGCCCCAGGGCTTTGAAATAAAGAATCCTGTGATTGATTAGCAATGTCTGCCATGTGCATGGCTCACACTTGCAATCCCAGCACTTTGGGAGACCAAGGTGGGCAGATCACATGAGGTCTGAAGTTTATGACCAGTTTGGCCAACATGGCAAAATCCCATCTTTACTACAAATACAAAAACTAGCCAGGCATGGTGGTGGGCACCTGTAATCCCAGCTACTTGGGAGGCTGAGGCAGGAGAATCTCTTGAACTTGGTAGATGGAGGTGGCAGGGAGCTGAGATTGTGCCACTGCACTCCAGCCTGGGCAACAGAGTAAGACTCTGTCTAAAAAGAAGAAGACACTCTAGCCCTTGTCAGTGTCATTATCATTAATTACTACTAACTGCATGCCTACTATATGCCAGATCCTAAGTGCATGTTACCGTTACATCTTTAAATGAGCCTGCAAAATTGCAATTCCTGTTTCTGTATTACAGAGGAGGGCTCTGAGCCTCAGACTTACCCAAAACCATCTGCTGGGAAGAACAGATCTGGGAATCAACATCAGGAATTCTGACCTCCAAAGCCGCAGTCTTTGCACGCACAGTAACTCTGAAAGCAGTCAAACAACCTCTTGTTTGTATTCTGCATATTTATTAGGTGAGTATACTGAGTCTCAGAGAGGTTAGGTGTCCACGGAGAGCATCAGAGGAGGCTCAGGGAGATAGCACTTTCTTTTTCTGGGCTAGCTTCACAGACTCTGATTAGTTAAAAGGTCACAGCAGTGCTGGATGATTCCTTTGACTTGAGCTAGCCAAATATGTCTCTGCATAGATGGGTCAGCCGAGGATTTGGATCATCAGTGCCTTGGCCAAGGTCCCCCAGTCAGGAGCTAGGACTCAAACCTATGGCTGTGGGTCTCCAGATCTTGTGTTTCTGACACAGCAGTGCCCAGCTCAGAAGGATAACTGCCATGGTTCACACACACAGCTGGCCTCCCTTGATGTGCCTCTCAATGACAGCCTCGCTTTGGTGGAAGTGATTAGATCATTTCCAGCTTGAAATCGGATTCTCTGGTCTGGAATCACCATGTGTAGCCTTGACCTTGAGGTTGAGACCAGGTGTAATGTAGCAGAGCAGTGAAGAGTTCAGGACCTGGGTTCCACCGACTTCCAACTTCTATCTGTGAAGCCTTGGTCCTGTTCATCCTCTGTAAAGCCTCAGATCACTCATCTTTAACATGGAGATGATAATAATAATCACATCTTTCTTATAAGGTGGGTATGCAATCAATAAGGGTGGCTCATATTTGATGAGTACCTACTATGTGCCGGGTACCCTTCTATGCACTTTGTATATGTTGATTTTCCCAATCCCAGACTAATCCTATTTTAGGGAAGAGGAAACCAAGAGAGAGTGGGGGGAGTCACGTAGGGTCACATGGAGTTGGGGTTTGCACCTAGGGAGGCTTGCTCCAGAGCACCCTTGTTACCCAGGAGCCTACGCTGCCTCTTGGTTAAACAAGGCTACTTAACAGTTAGCATGCGGGTAAAACTATTGAGCATCACATGTTTTCATATTACGGGGATGTTAGTATTTTGCTGTGCAGAAGGAGGCTTCCAGCTAACAGCAGCGACAGCAGCAGCCGCAACAGCAAAAAGCCATCACCTACAGAGCTGTTGTTGGGGTTGTATGTGGTTGGTCTCAGGCTTTCCTGAGAACTGAGGTCCACTCTCCATAGCGTGTAATCTGACCTGGACTCTCAGGCCTCTCCTGCTTCCTGAAACTTACTCCATTCCAACCAAGACTTTGATTCCTGAATATGTCCAATGTACTTTCAGGCCCGTGGGCCTTTGCACATGCTATTCCTGATGCCTGATTTTATTTCTCCCCTTCGGACAATGAACAAACTCACAGATTCAACTCACAAAGCATATCCTATGTGAAGTCTCTCGAGATCCTCCCCTACCTTTCAACCCTCTGAAGCACAATTTGTGCTCCTTTCTCTGTACTTCTGCAGCTGTGGTGACCCGTCCTGGGACATGTACCCACTCTGGGTTACCAGGGCAGGTGGATGTGTCTGTCTCCCCACCAAAAACTCCTGGAGGCCAGGAACTGGGACATATTTATCCAATCAGAAAATGCTTATTGAATGAATGAACCAATAAATGAATGAAAGAAGTTTTCTGTTTTGGCTGGATTCTAGCTTATGCCTCGTAGTCACTCACATGGGACCTGAATTTTGTCCTGGTGTGGTCATGGCCTCAACGTTCTATCTTGGGAAAGACATTGCTTTTAAGCAGCTCAGCTTCCCATCTATAAACTAACAGGGCGGGGATTGCTGGCTGCCAAGAGCATTTCTGTGACTGTAGATTCATCTCCTCTCTCCCCACCCCATGCCTGCTCTTCTCCCAGGGTCCCCATCACATTTAGCAGATGCTGGAGATTTTTCTGCCTAAATCTCTCTTGAATCTGACATTTTCTCCCTCCTATCTCCTGCTGCCTCCCCACTGCCAACACCACCATCTCTCACCGGGATATCTGCAATGGCCTCTTAACACATCTCCCTTCTGCCTCACAGCTTCCCCAAATCCACTGCACACTCAGCAATACATGTGATCTTTTCACACACACCTTCAATCACATCCCACCTGCTGAGCCCCTTCCAGACTTCCTCTTGTCCCCAGGCTGTAGAACAGAGTCCCTCCTGCAGGGCAATGAATGAATGCCCCTCCCTCCACCTGCCTTCTTTCTGTGGTTCCCCTTCCCTGGCTCTGGTCACACTGACTTTCTTTCTGGGATTCACACCTTGGTCCACCATGCCACCTTTCACATGCTGTTTCCTCTGCTTGGGAAGTTCTCTGCCCCCTCCACATGATCAGACTTCAGCCTGGTTATCCAAGGTGATCATAGGAAGAGGCTCAGAGCAGCCTTCCAGGGGCTCCCCAGACTAGGTTGAGCATTCTGATTATATCGGCTGCTGGGGCTTCTCTTTCCTCTCTTCCACAGCTCTTATCTCTCAGCCCCTGGTATGCACCACCCCACCTTCTGTCTCTTATGAGTTTAACTACTTTAGGTAACTCACTCAAACCCATGTACTTTCATGCCTCTGGGCCTTTGGACATGCTATTCTTTTTTTTTTTTGAGACAGAATCTCACTCTGTCATCCAGGTTGGAGTGCGGTGACATAATTTTGGCTCACTGCAACCTCCACCTCCCAGATTCAAGTGATTCTCCTGCCTCAGCCTCCTGAGGAGCTGGGAGTACAGGTGTGCACTGCCATTCCAAGCTATTTTTGTATTTCTGGTAGAGACAGGGTTTCACCATAGTGGCAGGCTGGTTTCGAACTCCTGACCTTGTGATCTGCCTGACTCGGCCTCCCAAAGTGCTGGGATTACAGGCGTGAGCCACTGTGCCCGGCCTGGACATGCTATTCTTGATGCCTGACTTTCTTTCTCCTCTTTGGACTATAAACAAGCAAACTCATACTGAGATATTCGGCTTACAAAGTGTCTTCTTCATGAAACCTCTCAAGATCGCTCCCTACCTTTCAGCCCCCTCGAGCAAAACTGTTGTCTAAGTGGAATCACCCAATAGTTATCTTTGTGCCTGGCTTATTTCATTTAGCACTATGTCCTCAAGGTTCATCCATGTTGTAGCACGTATCTGAATGCCACTCCTTTCTAAGGCTCAATAATATTCCATTGTATATATAGGCCACATTTGGTTTCACCATTCATCCACTGATGGACAGTTGGGTTGTTGCCACTTTTTGGCAAAGGTGTTTAAACAGAAGCCTAATGCATTAAAGGGGGTGTTAACATTCATGGTAATAAGGCAAGGAGGTGTCCTGGGAAAGGCTTTAGGATTAGACCTGGGTTCAAATATTGGCAGTGCTACTTACCAGCTGGGTGACCTCGGGTAAGTCACTTGACTTCTCTGAGCCTCAATTTCCTCATCCCTAAGAAGAGGGAGAAAACACCCATCTCCTCATGCTGATACGAGGTTTAGAGGCAGTGACCGGCAGAGGAGATGCTCAGTGACGTACTAGGTCAGCCTTACTCATTTCACTCTCCGGCCCAGGACTGCTGTGTTGTTCACTGTTCAGCAACACCTGGTCCAGGTACTCGACTTGCCAATCTGAATCCAGGGGCGGCATCTGTCTGGAGGGGCCACCTTTGTTCCTTCTCCACAAAGGCTCATAGGTGCTGGTGTGGCTCCGGCCTCAATCAACACAGATGCACGGGCTTATCCCTGCTTGGCTTATGTGGTCTGGTAAGGCACAGAGAGGCCAATTAACCAGCCCAAGGCCACATAGCGGTCTTGAGACCCCTTTGAGTGTGAGGACCTGGCTCCAGGCATGAAGAGCAGAGCAAGGTGTGTAGCTGAGAACCTCGCACAGGTGAGCAGAGGGCCTGAGGGTGACGGGGCTGAAGGAGCTTCAGCCTCTCTCCACCTCCTCCTCTCTCATCAAGAAGTAGACAGTGAAATGGAGGAAACAAAACAGAACAGAACAGAAACGCTGTCTCATTCACAATTCAGCTCCTCCTTGGGGTGGCAGCCTCCTCCGAGTGGCCACTGATACACCTCTGTGCTGCTGACCACGGTCTCCTCCCAGCCCCCTCCCTGACTTACTCCTTCCATCCCAGGATCGTTTTCCAGACAGCCCTGAGCCCGGCCTGCCAGACTATTTAGTCTGGATTTGTTGACCCCGTCTGACTGCCTGCAGGATGTGCTCAGGTTTCCAGGCCTCCTCGGTGCAATCAGTGCAGCTCCCCCTCCTCGCTCCCGCCCCTGCTTCTTACACAAACACTTACCTCCAGGCCCAGGACTTCCTGACTCGTTTCCTTGCCTTAGACGCAGCCTCCAGCTTCCAGAAGGGAGCTTCGATGCCCTACAACACGGTCCTCTGTCCACGGTTCTGCGAGCCCCCGTTCATCACTCTGGCACCCAAATGTAGCCGGCCTGCATTCCCATCATGGCTATCTCTCCCTCACTTGCTCCCTCGGACGCTGACTCCTGGGCATGCAAGTTTATTACAAGAAAAAAGATGATGCAAATTTAAAATGTTTTTTCATCAGTGAACACATGGTAGATTAGCTATTTGTCCTTGTTCCATGTCTCAGAGGGGGAAACTGGGGCCCTCAAGAGGGAAAGGGGTGAACCCAAGCTCATGAGGAATTGCGGTCTCCTTGTCATCTCAGCTTTGACGTCACTCAGCCTCTGTTCTCTCATTCCTCTCCTATTCTGGGTTCTGGGCCATATATGCTACCTTCAAAAAGTGATTTTATTTTATTATTATTGTTTCTTTTTCGAGACAGGATCTTGCTTTGTCATCCAAGCTTGAGTGCAGTGACACAGTCGTGGTTCACTGTAACCCAGATCTCATGGGGTCAAGCGAATCTTGCACGTCAGCGTCCTGAGTAGTTAGAACTATAGGTATTATGCCTGGCTAATTTCTAATATTTTTTTGTAGAGATGGGGATCTTACTATGTTCCCCAGCATGGTCCTGAACTCCCAGCCTCAAACAATCATCCTGCTTCAGCCTCCCAAAGTGCAGGCATGAGCCACCATCTCTAGCCTGTGTACAATTTTTCAACAACTCTTTCTGAGTGTCTTGAGATGCAGGGAAATTAGGTATTCTGAGAGTAAAACTCTCTTATTTTGAATATCTTACTTGGGTACAAGGAAATGAGGGAGGAAGATTATTTGTGGCCCTTGCATCCTAGGTGGTTTTGATGCCATGTGTCCATCCTTTTAAAAACCTATGTGCTGGGCTGGGTGTGCTGAATCACACCTGTAATCCCAGCACTTTGGGAGGCTGAGGCGGGGGGATCACGAGGTCAGGAGTCCAAGACCAGCCTGGCCAAGATGGTGAAACCCCGTCTCTACTAAAAATACAAAAATTAGCCAGGCTTGGTGGTAGGTGCCTGTAATCCCACTACTCAGGAGGCTGAGGCAGGAGAATCACTTGAGCCCAGGAGGTGGAGATTGCAGTGAGCCAAGATCATGCCACTGCACCACTGCACTCCAGCCTCGGCAGCAGAGCAAGACTCCATCTCAAAAAAAACAAAATAACCTATGTGCTGGTACCTTGCTAGAAAAGGTTGGCAGTAACCAAGATCAATGGCCACCATTTGTGAAGTGCTCATTGTGTGCTAGGCACTGTGCAAAGTTCTCTACCTACAATTCTCCTAGGAGATGGAGGAAAATACTCTGTCTCCTCCCATTTTACAGATGAAGAAACGGAGGCCCAGAGTAGGCAAGTAACCTGGAGACAGTCACACAGCCAGCAAGCAAAAGAGCCTCAATTCCAGCTGAGAGCCATACTCTTCCCTGCTGGAGCTTCCCACAATTGGGTTACCACTTACGGGTGGGGATGGGAGGCCGGAGTCCAGGGGTCTTTTACATATGTCTGCATTTTTTTTCCTTCACCATGAACATGCTTGATTTTTATAATACTAAACAAACAAAAAACAAAAAAAAACCCAACCAACATCATCCAAAACCACAAGAACAGCACAAACAAACACCGCTGTACATCTTGATGCCTGTTAAATTTTCCTTTAAATATATTGCAAACAACCAAGCTTCTTTCAATTCCCGCTCTCCATGCATACACCAGAGCTAGCTTCTGTTGACAGTTTTGTGTATATTCTTGCAGATTTTTCTGCCGTCGAATGCTAATATATATGCAGATGTATAATTTTATGGGGCTTTCTAAGCCATACATATTTTCAATATTTGATTTTTAAAAATCAATAGAAAATGTATTGCTTTGGTGATTGGGAAGAGAATAAAGATATGAAAATTAAATCAAATTGAAAAACATCCTTGGATTGGATGTTTCAAAGTTGCAAAGTCAAAGTTCTATTCCAGAAAGTTCTGCACCAGCGAAGCTAGAGTCCCCACAGAGATGCTCAGATCCCGACGGCTGGCTGTTGCGTTTGGCTAGGGGAGGGGGATGTCTCTAATTCCCACCAGCTTGCCTTGCCACCCCCTCCCCACTGCCCCTGGTCGATGAGCACTGTGCTCAGTTTGTCGACTCAGCAAAACAGGCCCGCCCGCTCCCTCCCCGCTCCGATTGGAAGGTGATTGCCTACCAGCCAATTAATTCTGCCTTAATTGCTCAGGCTCTAAAATGCAGGCCTGAACAGCTAATCTGGCAGTGTGCGTGTGGGGGTGGTGGTTAGCCTGGCAGATGCTGCCCTACCAGCTCTTGGGAGATACTCAGAGAGTCAGAAAAAAAACAATGATTCTCTGCATGGCCCTTGGGCATCCTGGAGGGGAGAGGCCTCTGGCCATTGAAGGTGTGGCTCAGGAAATGGACCCAAGACATGGCCACCAGCAAGAGCAAAAAAGAGAAGTAGAAGGGGGTGCATCTAGTCTTAGTCCACTGGGGCACTGTGGAATTTATCACTTTCTGACATGATCTTGTTGATATCAGCTGCCTTTCTGATTCAGAGCTGTAGCCAGTGCCCACCCACTGCCTGGCATATAGTAGGTGTTCAATAAATAGTGATCTATTCAATAAACACATTCCACCCTGTTCTAGTCACCTCCTGCCTGAAACTGCCGCTGAAGTCTCCAAAGAGTTGCAAGATATAAATGAGAGAAACTGAGGCCCAGAGAAGGGAGGGGCTTGGTTTGTTCAGGCCAGTGCCTGACTCAAGCTGCCTTTCAACTTTGCTCCATGGGAACTGTCCTTTTCCAAAGCATCCTCACCTCTTGTTGTGGGAGGGCTGCCCAGGAGAGGAGCAAGAAGCTCCTTGCTGCTTTCTTTTGAAATCTACGTCTGTATTAAGCACCCTCTCGACCTCGAAGCTGGCTCATTACACACCAAGTTCTCTGCTCCTCTGTCTGTGCCTGGGGGGTAACTCAGAACTGGCTCTCCTGGGGACGAGCAGCTCTGGTCCTGGAGAGGAAAATGATATGTATCTAATCTCTGACCTTCAAATGAGGACAGGAATTAATCAAGGATTTAGATGGAGGGGCAGCGAGGCTGTATAAAGAGGCAGTGGTGGGTGGGGGGCACGTCTGAGTCTGTCCTCACCTCAAGCCATCTCTGGCTGCTGCAGATGCCCTCCAGGCTGAGGGAGTGACAACAGGCAGGAGGAAAGGGGGCAAACAGCCAAAGGAAGGAGGAAATTGAAAGCTGAGGCAGGAGGAAGGCAGGAGGAAGGCAGGGTGGGGAAGAAAACAAAGCAGGCAGGCATCAGAGGGCAGGAAAGCCGATAGACAAGCATGCCAGCCCGTGGGGTGGAGGAATGCACAGGAGGAAACAGGCAAAGGAAAACAAAGAAGAGGAAGAGAGAAAGGCTAACACAGAACTAAACAGGGGCTGAAACAAAGCCAAGGAGGAAACAAAGGGTAAGGGAAAAGAACAGCAAGCAGAGGAAGAAGCAGCACAGAGAAAAGAGAGAAGGCTGGGGAGGCCTCCAGAATGTCATCTGCTCATGCTGAGGGGGAGACCTGGGCAAACAGCATGCCCCCAGCCTTGCCCAGGTCCCTCACTCCATCCCTGGTACCCATGGGCTCCCAGGAGCCTTTGGGGCAGACAGCTGGGCTTCCTCCCGCCTCCCCAGCCCAGCCTGCTCTGATTGGCCAGTCTTGTAGGGCAGCAAGGTGCACCACGCCCACCCATCTCTGCTTTGCCTCGGCTGAAGCCCCAGAGACTCTTCAGTTTCCCGAAGTGTTCTGAGCCACCCCGAGTTCTCCTTCCCCCCTCCTTCCCCACCACCTAGAAAGCTGTCCAAGTGGAACAGCCTGCAGCTATTACAATAAACACCTCAGCCACAACCTGTCTCTCATTTGCATATTAGCAGCCTTAATTCTGATGAAATATGCAAATGTATGCAAAATGAAATTCATCTCATAATGACACAAGGCGATTAAACAATTTTTATGCTTAAATATTCTGTTTAATGAAATCAAACAGACCTGTGCATGTGACAAATTCTCCACAGCATGGAGAAATTAGTGAGGAGACATATATATGTGTGTGTGTGTGTGTGTGTGTGTGTGTGTGTGTGTGTGTGTGTGTGTATGTAAGAATAGCAAGTCACCAGCACCCCCAGAACAGCCTAGATCTACTCAGCCTTTCTGGTAAGAAGAAAATGGAAAAAAACTATGTTTTTGATAACCAAATGAACTGAAAATTATATTACTGAAAACTGCTAAAATAAGTTAGAGTATGCCTTTGTTTCAGGAGCTGGCGAGGAAGCCCCACCCCACATCTCTACAATATGGTGTCCTCCACATTGTTGGAAGATAGGGAGGCGTGTATGGGCTGTGGGAAGGCAGATTCAGCCATAACCTCGGTGCCCAGAAAAAGGAGTGAAGAGGCTGATCCACAGTGTCACTCAGACAAACTTTCTGGTTTTGCTCATCTGGGCAGAATGTGTTCTTGCTTTGGCCACTGGGAGATGGTTTGAGGGCATTTGTGTTCTTGGCCCTGGTAGGATAAAATCTATCTGGATATTTACCAGGAGGGGGATGAGAAGTAGGTAGCAGAGAAAGAAGTATAAGATGGGAGGGTGGAATGAAGAGAGGAGAAGGAGGGTATAGAGGAGTGGACAGAGATGAAGGTGAAAGGATAAAGAAAAAGAAACAATAATGATGAACATTTCCAAGCCATTGCTATGTACTTTTTAAATATAGGATCTCATCAAGTTATCCTAACAACTTTACAGATAGATTTTATTATTATTACTATTATTTATTTATTTATTTATTTTGAGAGAGTCTCACTTTGTCACCAGGTGCTAGGCTGTAGTGCAGTGGCACAATCTCGGCTCACTGCAACTTCTGCCTCCCTGGTTCAAGCAATTCTCCTGCCTCAGCCTCCAGATAGATTTTATTATTGTAACCACCTTGTATTAGTGACAAGGAAGCTGAGGTTCAGAGAGGTTAAGTAAGTTGTCCGAAGTCACAATGCAGAGATGAGTGGAGGATCCTCAATTTGATGGTGGACATAATGAGCTTGGAATCAGCCTAAACTCCTCACTGTTGCA